ATGGGGCCGCAGGGTGTCCAAGGCCCTGAACCAGCTGTGTGTCCTCGGGTTCAGTTTGGGTTGATGTATTGATGTCCTCCAGGCCTGTTCCTGGGAGGCAGAAGGGCCCAGGGAGCTCAGGGCTGCAGACCCAGGGAGGCTGCGGAGGGCGGGTAACGGAGGCCTTCCTGAGCGGCAAGCCCTCCTGGGCCAGGAACCGCGGCGCCTGCACTGGCCACTGTCCCCACCCTCGCCCAGGAGCCAGGCAGCGTCTTCCAGTTTGCTGTTGGCTACGGCCCCCGCTAGAAGCTTCTGCATAATCTGTGTGCATGCGTGTGCGAGTGTGCACGCGCATGCAACTTCACCTCTGTGGCTGTGAACGCCCAGAGCTGAACTCACTGCCCAATTCTGTCCCTTCTCCTCTTAGACTTCCGGTCTTTACCAGGGCATTTTGCCATTTCCTTCCTCGGCTCACTGTGCTCAGACAACAAATTTGGGGAAGGCAGTGACAGAATCTCAAAATGTGACCGCACCATTCCGGCCCTGGGAGGAGCCTGGCAGAGGTGGCTCTCTGCAGACAGAGTGGCAGCCTGATGTTTTCAGTAACAGGACAATCCTGGGAGAGAGGGAGATTGTGAGGAAGCTTTGGCTCTGGGGCTAGCAATTAGTTACACTGTCAGCAGTTAGCTACCGGGCCTGTACCGCACATAGTCTGTCCCGGGGATTTTATTTCAGTTTTGATTCACAACCAGGGAAGAGCTTTCTTTAAGAAAGTCGACTCAGAGCCGTGAATCTGTCTGCCGTGTAGCTGGGGCTCGATGGTTATTCGCCAAGTGAATAAGCAATTCCTATCACACCCATGTGTGCCGTGAGACATGGCTGCTGCCCCTTGGACACTCTCTCTTTTTCCTAGTAAGTGTTTATTTGTTTTTGTTTTTGAAATGAGCGGATCCTCCGAGCTGTGCCAGCTGGAGGCAGAGCCAGACGCACAGCGTGAGTCAGGAGCCCCAACCCTGGCTTCCACGACTGTCATGGGGTGGGAGATGACGGCCTTTCTCCTGCAGAGAGCGGGGGTCACTTTTACCTGGAGCGCTTGAAATTTAATCGGCTTTTTTGAAGACTAACAGAACATTTGTAAGAACAGGAACGCCAAGCCAGTGCCAGTTTTATACTTAATAGTGCAAAGTAGGTATATGTTTTTAACTTCAGGGAAAAGTCAAACTGAGTTACTGGACACTCCTGTGCGCCATTTCAGCACACGAAATGGCCAGTACACAACTGTTTTTCTACTTTGCCGCTAAGATGAAAGCATCACCCAGAATTTTAAACAGTGATTGAATTCTGGGAACCCCACTATCACACTGTCCTCATTTAATTACTATTTTTTCTTAACACCTGAGCCTATACAGTATGGATATTTGTCCAGAAATAGTAAGGACAGGAAACACTTGTTGACTGTCTTATTTTAAATAAGAAGGGCTGATTTCCATTATTCGAATGACAGGAGGTAAAAATTAGATGTTATTTTCAAAAATGCATGGTTATTTGTACCAAGTCGTACGTGTTTTCACCTCCAAGGTGTTACGGACGGCACACGGTCACCCATGTGAGCCCAGAGTACCCGGCCAGCAGGGACACTAAGGAGAGGTCAGTTACACGGCAGTCACCTCTGCTGTTTAAATGAGGCAGGGCCACCCCAAACGTCTTACTGATGAGGCTCAGACGCAGTTCATTTCTTCTGATATGTGAAACACTAGGCAATTATCAGTTTTTATTACTCCTCATCAAAATAAGCACCTTTAGATTTCTAATTATAATGTCTAATAAAACCAAACGGTCAGCGCTGTTTGCACATGAGGAAGCATCCTACAAGTAACTCACAGCAAACTACATAAAAGCTAATTATATATCTCAACCACTTACAAGAATTTCTGAATGCATGCTTCTGTTGTAGCCTAAAGCAAGGAACTCTGAATTTTTCACTTCTAAATATTGACTTTTTAACTAACAGCAGTGATTCCATTTTTTATGGATGAAAAGTTAGTGATTAAACTAGATGCAATATTTGCCACAGTGCAATTAAAATTTCTACATTAACCCACCCTCCAGAAAGAAAAAGCAACAATGTGAAATTAATTGTCAGTCACTAAACACGTTAGGTACCGGTTTCCTATATGAAGGCAACTCCAAAAGGACGACAGAGACGCATGGAATTTATTGGCGACAGTTGGGCTGTGATGGCAGAGACAGACACACCACAACGCCAGATTCCACATCCAATTGTGCGGTCACATAATTGTATTCCTGCCTGATTGTGATAGCTATCAACCAAGAAATTTACTACAAGATTAACAGAGACACAGTAATGAAAAAACACGGGCGGCATCGTGTAATTGACTGTTATTAAAGTATGTCATCGTGGCCTGTAATAAACTCCTTGGCTACAGCTTCCCGGAGGAACCCAAGCCAGAACTTTCTACTACTTTTTTCCTTTTTAACTTGGGCTATGGGGTCCCCACCACCGCTGCTACTTAATAGGCGCAAGGTCAGAAGTCTCAGGGAGGAAATAGACACTACACATACAATGAGTTAGAGCTGTCGGAGGGTGTCAGGACGTGGAGAAGTTAGGGTTCACTTGGTGGGGGGACTCCAAAATAGCAATGCAGTGATCCCACGTCACGTTTGCATTTCCAACTTCGGCCAAGTGAGAAAAGCAGGGCAGAGCAGAAAACGGTGCCTGTGAGTCAGCTTTCTCGGCTTTCTCCGGATACTGCCGCGGTGGCCGCTGCAGCCCTTCCCATTCATATTTTAATGAGGTTAGTATCTGTGAGGCCATCCTTAGAGGGCAGCGGCAAGGTTCCCCTAAGATTACAATAGGAGATGCTTTAGTGACAAGCACCATTCAAAACCGTCACAGTCCAGAAAGACTCAGTTTTATTCCGCTTGTCCCAGTACTTACTGCACCCTTAGAGTCGGGACAATCTGAGGAGGAAAGAGCCTCAGTGACGTATGAACGGTGTTTAGATTTTCTTCGCAGGTAGCTCAGGTAAGGAGAATCATGTTAAACTCTAATCGCGTCTAACTTAGCAAAATCAGAATGTGTGTGCACACGGACCGGCTCCCCTCGAGGAAGGCAATCATTGTATACTGCAAACATGGACTCGTAAAGGAAAATAAACACTGAAGAAAAGAGCTGCTCTGATAACCCCCTTTTTCCTTAAATGTTTTCTTGAGAAATCTGATGCTTCAGGACTTCAGATCAATGTTGTTTAATATGCTGGCCTCTGCTTTTCTCACCCTGGGTTTGTGCCCTTTTCTGTTTTGGTGGACGAGGTAACCGAATGTCTTCCAGCTATCTGTCACCACCATGTCCTACTTTGAAAGCATCGTTACTCCAAAGGGCTAGCGAACTGCAGCAAACAGCTAGTCAGCCTTCCCGGACATAGAAAATGGTAGAAATTCGCGCTGTTCTTCAATGCAAAGTAGTTGTTTTAAGACAGGCACACCGCTGCTAGATTCCAACCTGTAAGATTACACTTTCGGGATAAGAAAAGCAATTCAGTCTTACGGAGAAGGCTTTCACGTGGGGACTCTTTTATTAAAAAAAATCGCAGCCTGGGATCCGCGACATGGCACTCAAAAATCAGTCCTGTAGGCCTTGGCATGCAGGCATTGAGGTTCCCCCGCAGAAGGCCGGGTCAGTTTAAAAATACAAACAATTAACATCAACCAAACAGTTGCTCGGTAGCCTGGCTGGCAGGAAGTGCGTGGTGTCTGAGGCTGGGGCTCTGCTGAGCTTCCAGAGCCCCCCCCACCCCCAGACCTTTGGCCCTCCAGGCCCGGCAGGGTCCCCACCCCCAAGCATCAATTCTGTTTACTCTCCCGAGGGGGGAGGGGCAGGGGGAGGGAGGGGGAGGGTGAATTTCCAGATTACAGTTGGATTTTCAAAGGAGAGGCCATTCTTCACTTTCAAGAAAAATACTGCCTCACTGACACCCAGAAACGGATACATATATTCAGATGGGGAACTGCACTTAAAAACACAGGCATCTCAGCAAGCAGTTACACCCCTGATCGTTCTGCTAATGATCTGCCTGGACTAATTGTCATTTAAGAATTTACCTTTGCATTTTAGAACTTTTTTTCAGTGACTCGCACATGTTCAATGCTTGATTTCTATCCGTTGATAAAGTTACCGTTTTGTTTGTTAACCTGTGTATTTCTTTTTACAGCTTCCAAAGCTTGCAGGCCGTCGTTCGAGCACAGACGTAAAAGCAGCTTGTATTTGGAATGGGCACTTCGAGTAGACATTTTTTAAAAAATTAGAGCATTCATGGGTCGTTTCCTTTTTAACCTTGGTACTTTAGGGACTTAGTACGGGCTGTGGCATATTCTCGAACAAAGCATTTCATTGCAAAGTGAACGCTTGGGCCCGGAGGGCGGCTCAAAGTCAAACTCAGTCAAGTTTGGGGCCAAGGGCTTTACCTGTACGCGGCAGGTGCGGCGGGCGGGGAGTGGCGCTTTTCTCTAACTCTCTCGTCTTCCGGGCTCCTTTGAACGTGTTTGTACAGAGTTGAGTCCTTATTGAACCCGGGCTGACGGTGGCACCGGGTGGTTTATAATCAGCCCGGCCGCCGCACTGCCTTTCATGTTAATTCCGCCGCGCTGGCGGATCAGATTTGCGGCCAGATGGCGGCGAAGCGCGGAGACCCTTTGTGCGCCCGGGCGCGCCTGTGAATGTCGCGCGGTCGCTGGCACCGGAAGGGCTCACACTGCGTGTGAAAGGGGACAAAGGAGGCTGGATATATCAACACTGCAGAAACCGAGTTCATTTGTGATGCAGCCCCTTTCACCGCGGTTGTCAGGCAAACTTCCTACTTTGATCAGCAGAGGGTGGAGAGGGAGAAAGGCGCGAAGCGCGGGCCCCGGCGCGGTCCGTGCGCCCTTGGCGGCTCCACGCCCCCTTCCGGAAGGAGCCGCGGGACGCAGCTCCTGCGCCTTGACCTGTCTGGACGGCCCGCACGTTTTTGTGTCGGTCACCAAGGGCGCGGGTGCTCTTTGACCCGCGCCCCGGGCAGAGGCGGATCCTGGGGCCCCGCGGGTCCGCCGGCCGCGGGAGAGGGGCGTGCGGAGGCGATCGCGGCCCGCGGGACGCGGGGAGAAGGGGAGCTCTGCGCCCAGGGAGCGGATGGGCGCTGAGAAGCCAGAACAAGTCCCCGTCTCTCTCTGTCTCTCTCCTTTTTGTGACTCACGCTTACTGTGCGCGTTCAACAACTTTTACGAGTGACTGCGGGCATGGGTGTAGCCTTCAGTCTGAGTGTGAGGTTCTGCCCGCGTTCAGATCCGTGCCCTCTCTTCGTAGACCTAAGCTGACCTCAAGTGGGGCAATAACGCGCCCGCGGGGCCGAGGCTCCGCGCACAGCCGCGCGCGTTTGTTGCAGCGGGGCCGGGAGCGAGTCCGCTCGCCTTCCCAGCACCCTCTTTTGCGCAGTCCCACCCCGAAGCCCAGTGTCCCCGCCATCTGTCTCTCCCTAGGTCCCCCTGGTGCAGTCCGAGGCGTTCCTCGTCGACCTTCTGGATAAAGTGTGCGAGCGGATGAACGACTACCAGCTGGACGAGGACCCTGTGACGAAGGAGAAGTATTTCCGGAGATACGCCCCGAGGAAAGGAGACAAGATATACAGAGAATATAAGAGGTTCTATTACTACTCTGACGCCTACAAACCTCTGAAATTCGCGGTAAGCGCTCTCCCTCCGAGAGGGACCATGTGACCGGGGAGCCCGGTGCGGGTGCTCCCTTTGTCCTCCGCCGCTTCCTCCTTGCCGCCGAGCTGCGGCGCGGGGCAGCAGAGGGCACATTCAGTGTCATCTGTGTACTGGGCTGCCCTGCTGCTGCTGGCTAGCCGCGCGTTCAGGGCTCTCCTTTTGAGACACCCCAGGGCTTCTGGCACCCCGAAGTGATCCGCCCTCCCCAGGCCCAGAGACCTGAACACAGTGCGCTCAAGTGACCTGTCCTGGTGCCCAGGGAGGCCCAGGGAGGCCTGACAGGTCTGCATAGAAGGGTGAGGTCGTAGGTTAAAAACCCAAATGGAAAAGTGTGTCATTTTCAAAGGTTTTAGAGCCAAATGGGGGAGGAGTACTGACGTAATCATTTTCCTCCCAGGCTTCACGGAAGAGATTCCCCCCACCACCACCCTAGTTAATTGAAGAAATTTAGCACAAACTAAGTTAAACAAAGGCTTAGGTAGGATCGCTGGCATAAAGCCAAATTGTCTTCCAGTATAATGTTGATTTTATGTGAATGGTGACCTCTAGCTCGCTAGAATGTGCCTGGCAGAATATATTGCAATATATTTCCCTTTACTTAATGTTGTTGAATTGCACACAATGATGGGCAGGCCTGTTTAAAAAATGTATTAAGTTCACGCATTGGCCAAAATGTCAGGCCTGCTGAAACCCTGAAATGAGGGCTGTGGCTGACATTTGGAGATATCATTTTAATTAAAAAGTGAGGGCAGTAATTCAGGGCTAAAAGTACTGTGGAGTAGCAATGGCCGTGTTCATCATGTGGTTGTGTGGCGCAGGTTTTAAATAAACACATTCAGGTGGAATTTAAATATTCCTAAATGCCACTTAAGATTTTTGGAGTCTTTGCTTAATGATCTCAGAAGCTGACTCACAAGTCTCTCACGGATGCCCTTCAGGAACTTCAGACTCCCGGAAAGTGCCACTTAGTTCTTTAACGAAGACCCATCTCAGTGGATACTTAAGATTTTCTGATCCAGGGGCAAAGTTGAACTCCCTCTACCCTGCAGTGTCAGGTTTTGTTTTTGTTTTTGTTTTTTTTTAGCAAAGTGAAATTGAGTCTGGATCTCTAAATGGTATGGAGAAAACTTCTGTAACCATCAGACAAGTTCTCCACAGTGAAGCCGAAGATGCGTTTGTTAGGGTTGCTGCGAAGGGAAGCTTAATCGCTTTGTCACTTTCAACCCCCAGCCTAGATTATTCTGTTAAATCAGAAGGAGACTGGTCCACCACCTCAAGGACCTGTGTTCTTTAAGTTGCTTTTAAAAATAGACAACTGAGACTTTTCAGCTCCTTACGAGGAGCAAACCCATTTCTTCCTGTGGTCGCGTTTCCAGTTGTAGGAAGAAAAACACAAAGAACCCTTTCCTTCCTGGCCCTCACACAACTCCCAACGTGACTAATGACTTGGTTAAGTCCCAAGAAATGATGCAATTAACATTCTGGGAAGAGGGCTAATCCGAGACAATGATGAATTAAGCCAAAACGGCCCCCCAAAATAGGCCGCCTTGGCTACGTGATCCTGTATGTATAATAAAATGTTGCTAAATCCTTCCCGACAAGATGCCCGACATGCCCGGCCAGTGTGTCTCCAGACCTGGAGTTTGTTGCCATTCTGTCTCCGCAGTGCGAGAATATAATAGAAGAGTATGAAGAGGAAATATTCTCACTTATCGCGCAGGAGGCACACCACTTCGCTGACAAGCTGTGCAGTGGAAAATCAGGTACTGTGTCTGATGTAACATGTGCTCGCGGCCCGAGCCGCGCCTCCGCTCAGCCGAGCACAGCCTGTGCGCAGACCCGGCCTCTCTGTCTCCTTGGAGCCTCGCTCTGGCGCAGGGTTCTGGGTCTTCGCATCGAGGAGGAGCTTTCCTCTCTGGTTCCTCCTCTGCCTTTCAAATGCATCCAGACTCCTTGATTTCCGGAGGCAAAGGAGCGCCTTCTTGTTGAGAAGTGGGTGACCCTGAAGCACTTGCCTTTACAATAAAAAAGCTACTTCTAAAGACTGAATTTTCCATCCTGACCTAGGCAAGGAGAAGGTCCTAATTTAAATACCTGCTATACCAGCAGAAGGTGGATTCTAAATTTCTAAGAAAAATTTTTAAGATTTCTGTTTGTTTGTTTGGGGCAGAATATGCTGGTTTTATTTATTTATGTATGTATTTATTTATTATTTTTCAGGTTTCTTTCCCAGATGGTCTACATCTTTAAAAAAATTTTTTTTTCTGGCTTAGTGGATAGAAAATAACATTTAACTCAGATTCTTAGACACACACTGCACACAGGCCACAGGGAATGAGCAGAAGGCGTTGTTTACTACATAACAAGGTGGAGCCTGGACCTGCTGGCCCTGCCCTCTCTGTGGCTGACCTGATGTCCAGTCTTGTGGCTGTGATGATGGTTAATACATGCACAGGGTGTAGGACACGTTTCTGTTCTCTCTGGGTACCTTTGGGAAGAAGAGGAAGGGATACATGTGAAGACAGTGATTTAAAGCCAGGGCACTTTGTAAGCCACGTGGAAGCTTGAGACATTCAGCATTTAGCAGGTGTTTACAAGAAAGTACAGTACACGCACACACGTCCACTGTATCAAACCTAGTGCCAAAGTCCTTAAAAGGACACGCATCATATGTGTGTAGATAAATATTGACAGCGTCAGAAGTCATTAGGCAAGAAGATCGTGAATTTGCCACTAAGAAAACAGTGGAAGTTTCCTTACAGAGTAGATAAATGGGTTGTTTTCTATTTAAAATCTGGTTTTAAGTGGAATATGCCGAACAATACCCTGAAATGACACAGTGGGGATTGTTCAGCAGTTTGAGGGTTTTTTCCACTGATGTTGCATATATAAAGTAGAAGTTTGTGACATTCATATAAGTTCATAGCCAAACTTCCCAAAGAAAGCAGTTTTGAAATTTTTCAGACACTTCAGCGACGCAGATGAGGTACACATGTAACAGACAGTGTTTGAAATAGTTATTTTCCTATTTGTTTCCTTATAGAGGGTTTGGACTTGTCATAATCATCTACTGTCAATACACATAATTTGCTCTGTGGACGCCTACTCAGGTGGTCCAGAAAAGCTTCAGTTTCACTCACTGTTCATACGGTGTCCCCCCCGAATTAAGATTCTGGGGAAGGCTGTGTTCCCAAGTTCAGCATCTTGACTGAATTTCCATAATGTTAATGACCTCTGTTCATTCCTTCTACATAGCTGTAGTCAGAAATTAAAATATCGGCCCTGAGAAAGCGTAAGCTTAAAAATACACCTACAATATGAGCAATATTTCAAGGATGGAGTAAAACTAGATGACCTGTAATTAGCATTTGCTTTTCAAAAAACAACTGCCTACCTCAGCCAGGGCCGCAAAGGGTGACTGGTGACATCGTGATTGAACAGGGGGAAGCCAGTGGGTGTTCTCAGGTGATATTTCCTCACCAATTGTACTTCTGAGTATTGTAAACCATGTAAGTTGAACACTGAACATGAACTAATCTTTAAAAGAGACGAGATGCCTCCCACGGAAAATCTCCTACTGGAGAAAGTTAACATGGTAGAGGACTTTTCAGACTGAAATATTATTGCTAGAAAAAGCTAGAGTAGCACCCAGTGATAGCCATCCCCATAAACGACTACACTGACAGCAAAGAAATGATGTATTTTAATGTATAGGAACACTTTTGACCACTGTGTAAAACATAAGACTGTCATATCACAGAAGAACTCCTTGGTGCCCTGATACACAGGTGTGTAAGTTTCCTACCAGAGCAGGTCACGCCTACCCTATCTTGGGGAAGTGATGCTGAATCGTAATACATGGTGTAATAGTGCCACACCAGGGTCTCCGCAGTCAGAATTCTGTTTTAGAGGGGTGACCACGTGTATGTGTGTTGTGTGTGTTTGTATTATGAACCTGTACATTTGTAACGGTTTTACTGAATGTATACTGCATGCAAGATGCTTGTACTGAGATCTAGTAAAATGTTCAGCTATTGTTTTAGAGAGATCAGTAATCATTTAGAAAATAGATACTTCTGTAACTAGAAATTTGACTGAAAGTTTACTTTCTGTATTTATTATGAACTTGGCATTTAGATGAATTTTGCTTTTTTCTATGTAACACGCGTTGTTTCGGTTTATCTGTAATAGTTACTCATGAGCAGATGGGGGCATGCTCACAGTCTTCAGAATGTTAGGGTTCGTAGGCATTCGCCCCCCACCAAAAAGAAATAAATGGTGCATAGTGGAAAAAACATAGCATATGTCCAATATAAGATGAGCACGCTTGTGTTAAGAAACAGCATATCTGTGAGCTCCGAGCACATTCTTGTCATGTCTGATGAAGTCTCCCATCTCACCGAAGGGTCCAAGACTGCAGGAGTCTGGGGCTGCCACCCTGGCACCAGGCAGCAGAGAGAAGAGGACTCGCCGGGTCCCTCTGCTCTTGGCGGAGATGGGAAACGGGGCCCCTTCCTCACATGGTTTCTTTCTCCTAGGCAAAAATTAAAAGAAAATCATTAGATTTAGCTGAGGAATATCCTGTGCCGTAGAACCCAGGTTTTTCCAGGAGTCCTTTTGCTGTCTTGAAGTGAAAATGATTAAAATCTTACTATAGTACAGGATGTGATTAAAACACAGCTCTATTCCAGGCAAGGTGGAAAGCATACCCTATAGATTATAAATGAATAGATGCTCCTGTGTTTGTGGAGGATGTGTTAGACTGTATGCAGGGTGTAAACAGAAGTACATGAGTGTCTTCACTGCCTGGCACTTCTGCTCTGAGACCAAATCCTAACATTTAAAAACATCATAACTACAGGATTTGCCACGTACTCATTTTAAATGCAGCGTATGGAATGAGATACCAAGTATCTGGAAATGTGTAGCGTACACTAAACATAAAAGCATTGCCGCTATTTTGTCTGTCCCTCCCAACCCAAATGGAGAGTATTAAATTCCGTAATATAAAATAATTTCTTTTAAGGCTAGCGTAGTTCACATCAGCTAGGTAGCTAAAACCGTGCATAGCCTTTCTAAATAGCCTTTCTAAATTCGTTGTTCTCAACTGGAAAAGTAGTGTGAATCAAAACACCTAGCTGTCTCTCAGTCGATGCCTAGTATCTAGTGCTCCTTCCAAGTTGTGAACTGTCCCTGAGCTGGTGTTCTCTAAATATCCCCATACCCACTGGTGAAATGACACAGTGGCCTTGCTTTAAAATATTCTAGCCAAAACCGAGAGGGTGAGACCAGAATAAGAGAATGCTGATCATTGTGGAAGTGGGTTTGGAGACCAGAGGAATAGATTACACTCTTCTTTCTACTTTTGTGCATATTTGAGCATTTCCATAATAAAAGCTGAAAAGTATGCTCTCAACAGCTTGTACTTTTTGTGGAATGTAACTGACTTAATGGCCTGGTGTTTGCTGTGCTAGTAATGCTTCCTCATTTTTTTTCCAGATCTGTGTGGAGCCTCAGCTAATCACACTGAATTCTAGAAGTGGTGTTCAACTCCTTTTAGAGAGAAAACAAAGTCGCAGCTCCAAAGGTCAATGTCTGCATTTATGTCTGCATATCTTTCATGATAAGAAAATTTGTCTTGTTTATACTAGGCTTATCTCATGCGTGATATTATTTTGAAAATTTGTTTGGCATCCTGACAAACTCTGACTCTTTCTTTAGGTGAAGCCAAAGAGTATGTGAAACCTAAATTTCCTTTGCAAATTTGGACCAAACAGACTTAGCAATAAAGCATTAAATTTGGTTGTGGGGGAAAAAAAAGCAAAGCTGTTTCATAAGGAAATAGGAATCTTAAAATATACACTGTGTGCTCCATAGCAAAGATACATACACACGTACAAATGCAGGAACCTAATTTGATTTCTCAAATACTTGATTGGACACAAATTTAGGGAAATCTCTTGCAAGTAATTTCAAATTCGGTCCTCTGAAGGATTCTCTGTGGTGTTGGGGGAAAGAATGAACCAACTTTTATCAGGACTCTAATCTAGATTTCTTTTTTTTTTTTTTTCCAAACGTAGATTTCAAGTTTAAACTACAGTTTAAAAACTTGTTTTAAAACTTCATCTCTAAAATGTAGTGGTATGCTAAAAATGATGAATACTCTCTACACTGAGCAGTACTTGAGTCCAGATGATTTGTAGGGTGATTTATCATGACATTGTGTATTAAAAGATGATAGCAGTGACTGTGTTTTATTGTGTTGCAAACCCTCCTGGGCTCTTTGCTAAAGGTTTTTGGCTGACAGTGAGTGTATAGATTTTACTGTTGAATCACGTATCAGTCTTCTAACAGGGACGATTTGGGACAATGTGGGGACGGCAGGAGGGTGCTGTGGGACATGGACTGTGTATAATGCCGTGCAAAGTGTAGTACTTCTGGGTATTTAGTAGTCGCTGTTAAATTTCCATTCAATGGAATTAAATTCAACGTTAATTATTTGGCTGGTTAGGGTACTGGCTATGCTGGTTTTAATAAAGAAATCCTCTTGGTTACCAGTGAGAATGGAGCGGGTAGCACCATGCCAGTTCTGCACCAAAAACGCTAAAATTGTGGGCCCTCTTGTTATACAATTGCCTAGAGAGTACACTGTTTACACCCTGCTGTTAGCTCTTCAGCCTGAAACTTCTTAAATATAGGGAAAAATTTCCAAAACCAAGGAGATGGGATGGCTGTTTTCCTCCCCTTTCCCCATCTTATTAAGAGTCAGATCATAGGTTAATGACATTCATCTGGAGTCCGAGAGACTGTGTGGGTTTGTTTGTTGGCTGGTTGGTTATTTTTTGGGACACTGGTAACCAGTTGAATGTTACAGATCCTGCGGTCATCCTGTAATCCTGCACCCCAGCTGACACACAGGGGAAATAGGAGTTAGGGGTACCAAGCACTGTTTTCCAGCAGGGCAGTAAAGCTGTAACTTAAACATGGTCTCTATATCTCTATTTAAATTCATTCTTTGAGATTAGCTTGTCATTTGAAATAGTAAGCCGTGGACATTTTCCTAACTTGAGCTTTCTTGGTAAATGCACGAAGACTGACCAGGATGTCTCAAATCACAAGTGACCCTCGTGGAAGCCAGGTGGAGACCATGGCATGAAGGGTGCTTCCGTGGAACCCGCAAGGGCTTGAACGGTAGAAGTGTGGCTCCTTCCGTTCCACACCTCAAGTGCAGACAGGGTGAGCGCTCGTCCTCAGAGTTCAGGAAATGGGAGTCCTGGTTCCAGCTCTAACCAGCGCGGAGGGAGAGGGCCCGTCCGTCCCGGGGAGAGTTCTCGCTGACGTTCATGCTTGTGCGCTGAGCAGAGAACCAGACACCTGCGCTCGTATCCAGTATCCCATTTTGGCAAACAGGGCCTTCCCGCTTTTCCTTGGACTTCCACGTAAAAATGGTCTTGTATGTTACAATATTTTCCGTAACTTGTCACTTGCATTTTTTGTTCTTTCCAGACATTTTTTTTCCAGGTCGGACTTGTTGAATTTGAGTAAATATTTGTGAAAACTCACCCATGTGTGCGGGGGCTCCCAGCTCCCCCCGTGACTGTGACTGCTCTGCCTCCCCGTGTGAGCAGGAGCGAGCCAGCAGCCGCGTCCCTCGCACCCCTCCTCACCACGTTCTTGCCTTTTAAATGACATTTAAGAACTAAAACAAAGAGCAGTCTAAAAAGCCAAGAAAGGAATGGAAAGAAAGAAAGAAAAGAGAAACAATGCAACACCGAGGGTGTGAGAGGAAAGTTTCTTAAAGTTAACCAAATTCTAGGGTAAAAATTCCTAGAGCAAAGGGGGATGCCCATTAAAATAGCGAGCAGAGGAGACAGGTTTGGAGCGTGTGGCTTCAAAGCGTGTGCTTTTGTGGGACGCTGTGCGTGCGTCTCCGTAAAGACCTGCATGATCCTGTCCTCTGACCAGAGTGGCATGGGGAAGCAGCACACCTTTATTCTGTGGATCACTACTTGCTGAGAATAACCAAGCCCAGTGAATCCATTTCACTGAGGAATGGAGAGCAGAATTGAGCCAAAAACCCAACAGGGAGAGATCAATACTTTATTTACTAAGACAGGCCCTAAAAAAGAATCAATACTGGCTATATTTTTATACCTATTTCTTGGCTTAGGTTGATATTTATTCATATACATAGTAGCTTTATGGAAATAAAGTCTTAAATTTCAGATCCTGATGAGATACAAGAAAAGGCCTTTGTTGGTGTGATTTTGTGGACCACTTTTAAGTGTGATACAGATGTGCGAGCTCACACCGAGCGTGTGGAAGCTCACTCCATAGACGTCGCAGAATTTGGTGCTAAGATACGCTTTGCAATGGTGTCATGTCATCACAGTAAAAACGCACCTGTACGTACCTGTGGGTCTTTACTATGATTCTTGACCTACAGTTTAATTCTCCTTTATAAGTTGTTAAATTCCTCAGGCTATTTGCTCTTAAGAGCAAGGAGCTAAGTGAACAAACAGATCAAATGCAGCAAGTGAAATTGAAATGTGGACGTCGTAGGAATCCATTGCCCTAGAATCACCTAGGAGAAGAAGCAGCGTGTGGCATTGTTTTCTTGTGCAGGTTGCCCTGTCCCTGCCTGGGCATGAGCTTGCCAAGGAGGAAGGCTCTGTCTCGTGACCTGCCCTGCATGGTGGAGGTAGGATTGTGTTTGGTGCACTATGGCGCACTTACTATAGGGCCCTCAGTCAGGGCAGTTTAAGTATGCGGAACCTGAAATGTCAGGTGCAGCTCTCTATCTTGTGGAGAAGGGTACTCCAGGAAGGTCCAGAATGAATGGATGGATGGAAACCCAATGTACAGCTGCACACATACAAACACATACACGTAGGTAAGAAAGATCAGGTCACAGGAATCAACCAGAGCTTTGATTCTCCAGGGTGGTGATCCCAGAGGAATGATCTCTGGGAATTCCTTGAATTTCTTACAGAAAACGTATGATCCCTATGCTCTTTGTCTTGAAGAATTATCCCAAGATTTTCATGAAAGAAAAAAAATTAAGTTGAAACCGATGTAGAAAATACCCTTCCCCACAACAGCAAGATATTTGTAAAACATCTAATCTACTAAGAAGTTGCTGGGAAGCAAAATGTTACCATGAAAATTCACTAGAAGCTTGTATGTGCCATTAGCATGGAACAGGCATTGGAGGAATCCTGTCGGGCCAGGTTGTGTCCCTCCCAAACAACAGCACAATAACAGCTCAGACAGTAACGCAAGTGACTAGATAGATGGCTCCGTCCCCTCAAAGCCAAGGGGCGGGACATGGGCCTGGGTCCAGGTGGGGCCGACAGTCCGTACGATGGGGGTCAGAAGACTCTCAGGAGTGTCAGCGTCCCCAAATGTAGGGCACACGGGCTCTCAACCGAGCATTGGACGCCCAGCGTCAGCTAATTAGGCATGGCTGGCGCTCAGAAAGATCCTATAAGCCTAAGTTAAAATATTAATACAATCTCAAACTTTACGGATAACACGGCTGGCACCTGAAGCGTCAGAATGTACTCCTGACATTTTGTATTAAGGGCCTGCTTCCCAGCAGCTTTCTGAACAAGTGGGAATTTCTCTACAGCATCTTGTCTGAAATTGGCCGATAAAGGGTGACTGTAATCCTTGGGGTGACACCACGCTACAGAGAGAGATTGCAATCACGTGACCCTTGCCGGCTGATAGAAATCGTCTTTCTGGCTCTGCTGTTCTCTTGAAGGCCCTCTTGACGCACCTCATGCCCTCTGATTAGCAGAAGAAAGCGGGCACCAAAAAATAGATGGTTCGGTCCCTATTTAAAAAGGCCGCGTATAAAGCAACATTAGAGTGAGTTCTAATACAAATGTGGGTTCCATCAGCATTATTAAATAATTAGACCTGAGGTGGGAACATGCCCTTGAACTCCCTTCATATGCAATCAGAGCCTGATTAAATATTAATGCCTGAAGATTAAAGGGTCACGGGGTGTGTGTGGCTTTTTGTGTTTTCTAAAGGGATGCCCAGGCAGTGGGCAGGCAGGGTTGCAGATTAGCTCCACCTCGTGCCCTTGGTGGGTAGGAGGCTCTGGCTCAGTCCCGAGGGACAAAAGACCGCGGAAAGCCCCTCGTGATTCCAATGTCGGGGAGCCAGGACTGGGTGCTCCCGCTGCCTGCAGTGTGTGGTTCTTGCCGACCCGCCCAGGAGGGCTGAGGCCTCTGGGCACTCACAAGCAGATGGCAGGGGCCCCCTGCAGAAGAACGGTGAGGCTGGGAGTAGGCTGGATGTTAAACATCGCGGAGCAGTGCCACGCGGGGACCCTGCGTCTCCCTGCCGACCGGCGAGGGTGAAGGAGGGAGGTGTTGCTTTCTGTCTTTAAGAAATGCTTTTCCCTTGGTCTGTGGAGTGAGTCTCACATCCTGGGTTCCTCCAACGGTTCTTCCTTTCCGGTCACCAGGACTCACTCCTGGAAGGGGGAAATTTCCTCATGTGTCCACACGGGGCTGGGTACTGTGCCAACTGCCCGGAGCTGCCGGCCCAAAGTGAGTGGGACCAGGCTGCCC